TTTAATATTAAGTAAAAAAATATAACTATGAAATATATTAATATCTAAATTAGTAGAAACATAATTAAAAAAGGCACAAATTATAGATAAGTTCTTACATTCCTTACAATTGTAAAGATTGAAAAGATTTAGAAATTCTTCTTGGTTACATTACTAGAGACACCAAAGATAATAAAAAATGAGTTTAAGTTTTAAGTACAGTGCAAGTAATTTTTAAAGGTCAAAATTAGTTTTTTTGCTTAATGCATTAATGACTCAATCCAATCTTTAAAATCTTGTTAAAAGTGAATAAATTTTATATATTATATAAAATGCTACCTCTGCATTTAATAGGGTATGCATTTAACTAATAAAAAAAAAAGAAAATGCATGATATTAAAAAAATGAAAATTGTAAATGATAATAAAAATGGTAGATGAAGAAGTAAAGAAATAAAAATTGTAAATGATAAAAATAATTAATAAATGAATGTGGTAGATGAATAGCTGAATAGGCAATATTAGTTTAACGTGAAAGATAAAAGTTCTAAGTATTGATCTAAGTATTTAAAGACTCTTAAATGGAAAAAATGAAGAATTTGTGTCTAAATATTTAAAAATTAAAGAGTTCAGAAAATAAAAGAGTCAAGAAAATAAAAGAGTCAAGTGCCACATATTTAAACTCATTCTTTCTCCTATCTTTCTTAGGAATATTCTTTTGAACATTTCTTTTTCAATAATCAACGGACACTGTAAATGAGTTTTAAGTTTTCTTCTTCTTTTTTTTTTTTAATTTTTAATAACATTTAAATGTTTTATTTGAAATATTTTTATCCAAAAATTGGTTGCAGGAATTTTTGCGGGGGATGGGCGTTTCGGGTGCTTTTCCTCAATTTGATCAGTTATTTGATTCTAACTACCAATTTATGTTTTCTCTAATTATATTATATAATTTATCTTATTTTAAAATACTTTATAGTTAAAATTTCAAAAAAGATTTTATAGTAAATTAATTGCAAAAAATGTAAAATATATATTTTTTTGATAAATTTTTATTCAATAAAGAAGGTTAGAATATTAAAATGCCATAGGTAGATTGTGGGGTATTTTTAGTTTGAAAGATAATGACTAAGTGCTGAAATGGTTTTGCCAATGAAAACGTAATTTTATAAGTTATTGCATTTGGTCTTTTAGGTACTTAACATTTCCCATCAACAGATTTGTTTGTAGAAAAGTTTTATTCATGCTATAATTTGGAGTTCTAATGCTATGTAATTTAAAGATAAATTGGTTAAAGTAAATGTCTATTACATAAAAATAATAAGATCACATATTGTGTTATCTATTATAATAATTACATAGTCCAATTCTATCTTGAATGTATTGTCAAAGAATTGAGTGAAAAAGATGAAAAGATCTTGAGATATTGAGATATGTATTTAAACACACTGATTAGATGTGTAGATAAACTCACCAATCGTAAGAAACTACTCAAGAAGATGATGAAATCTCTTTATAGTATTTATTCTTTTTATCTTTATATAATTTTATTAGAAACTATATTTCATAAAAAATTGAGAGCGGAAAAGGGTTTAACATAATCTATTTATATCTATCTATCTATATATTATATAAAATGCCACCCTATGCATTTAATAGAGGATGCATTTAAAGTAATTGATTAATCACTGTGGTAGATAAAAAGGCAAAATTAGGTTAACATAAAAAGTCAAAGGTTTAAGTATTCAAAAACTTCTAAATGAAAAAAATGAAGAGTCAATGACTAAATATTTAAAAATTGAAGAGTTAAAAAAAATGAAGAGTCAAGTATCATATATTTAAACTCATTATTTTCCATATGCTCAACTCATTGTTTTCCCTATGCTCTTTACGTACATTCTTTTGATCATTTCTTGTTCAATAATCAAGGGTCACTATAAGTGTGTTTAAGCCTTTTTTTTTTTTTTTTTTTTTTTTTTATAACATCTAAATATTTTATTTGAAAATTTTTTTATCCAAATATTGGTTGCAGGCTTTGTCTCCACTTGAACAGGTATTTGATTCTAACTACCAATTTATATTTTTCTTAATTATTTAAATATTTTATCTTATCTTGAAATATTTTATTGCTATAATTTCAAAACTATTTAAGGATAAATCAATTGCAAAAAATGTGAAATATCTATTTTTTGATCAACTTTTATATGATAAAGAAGATTAAAAAATTAAAGTGTGATATATAGACTGTAAGATATTTTTAGTTTGAAAGCTGATAAGGACTATGTAAGTACTGAAATTGTTTTGTTCGATGAGAAAATAATTTTATGAATTATTGCATTTGGTTATTTAAGTACTTAACTATTCTTATTAACAAATTTGTTTGCAGAAAAATTTTATTCATACTATAGTTTGAAGTTTCAATGTTTCCCAATTTAAAGATAAGATGGTTAAAGAAAATGTTTATTACATGAAAACAATAGGAACGCATATCATGTTGGCTGTTATCATAATCTGTCTATATTTATATATTATATAAAATTTCATCCTATGCATTTAATAGAGTATTCATTTAATTAACTTTTTTTCTTTAAAGAGAAAGCATAAAAAATTATAAATGAGAAAAGTATATGAAAATTGTAAATGACGAAAATAGATGATAATTGTAAATGATAATGAGTGGTAGATTAAGAGGTAAATGAATGAAAATTGTAAATGATAAAAATAAATAATTAATAAATGTGGTAGATGAAGAGTCATATATATATATATATATATATTTAAACTTGGATGAAGAGTCAACATTAGTTTAACATAAAAAGCAAAAGATTTAAGTATTCAAATACTCCTAAATGAAGAAAATGAAGAATTAATGACTAAATATTCAAAAATTGAAGAGTTAAAAAAATGAAGAGTCAAGTGCTACATATTTAAACTTATTATTTCCCCTGTGCTTCTTATGTACATTCTTTTAATCATTTCTATTTTAATAATCAATAGTTAGTGTAAGTAAGTTTAGGGTTTTTTTTTTTAATTCTTGATAACCATTTAAATGTTTTGTTTAAAAGATATTTTATCCAAAAATTAGTTGCAAGGTTTTTTTTCCAGTATTTGGTCGTTTTATCTTTACATAGTTTTTTAAAAAAGTATATTTTATAAAAAATTGAGGAAGGAAAGGGGTTTAACATAGCAAAAGAAATTAAGAATGAAAGTCCTATTTATTGAAATAAGAGGTTATATTTTCTCATTTCAATTTAAAGCATTATAAATTATATCTGTCTATATCTATGTATATTATATAAAGTGTTTCCAAGGAAATAACTAGGGACTAAATTTTGTTATTTTGTTGAGATTGTAGAATTTATCTATATGTATCTGTCTATATTATGCTAACCTAAACATTAATTAAATACTAATTTTGTCATTTTATTTTAATTATTAAAAAATAATTTTGTTAAAAAATAAAAAATATATATTATTTTTACGTAAAATATAAGAAATGTGATTAGTAATTTAGTTTAACTTTTTTATTTTCTTCAATTTCTTATCTTCTTTTTAATTATTTTACCATTATTATTATTATTATTATTATTACTTTTAGTTACATATAATGTATTAAACCAAAGATAGAAGAATAGAAACTTAATATTTATGAAGAATAAAAATAAATTATAGGATTACAGTGTATGGTAATTATTTGTGCAATGTAATATTGAATGCCCTAAATGACCCAAATATACTTTTACATCAAATATTTTATGTTAATGGTTTAAACGAAGATAAATGTAAGAGAGCATGAAAAAAAAAGTCATGAATATACAAAAGTTCATTTATGATTTATTATAGTTGATAATGGAAGTTCAAGAGACACAATTAATAATGTAACAGATAAGTGATAAATATTGTATTATTTCAACATTAATTTCAAAAATAATGATAAAGAAGAAAAATTAAAACAATTTATTAAGAGTTTGAATATGGTTTATCTTTATAATAATGCATGAGGTGATATGCAAGAGATTTAAGTGAACTTAACGATTAAAGATGAAAGTGCTATTGTTATTTAATATTATTATTATTGCTAAACTCAAAAATAAAAGTGCAAGCGAATATGAAAAGCAAAAGCTGTGAATATACAAAAATTCCTTAATGACAAATGTAATCTTAATTGTAACTATTATATCAAGATTTGTAGTTGAAGATCAAAAGTTGACATGATTAATTATTATTTTATTATAATTTTTTTAATACATAATTCAAAAAATTTTGATTCTTTTATATTTTAATCTAATTAACAAATATAACAATTATAAAATAAAAGAAGTGCAATGTATAAGCTAAAATAACTAGACAAGAAATTAGTAAGAGTGTTATGTAGTTTTATTTTTTGTTTTATCATAATTCTAAAGAAATTGAAATATAAGATATGAAGCAGTTTATTTATCTTATTTGACTTTAGTTCCTTAATTAAGAGAAAAAAATATTGTATGAATCTTTAATTGAGATAATGGTAAAAAAAAAAAAAAAAAAGAACAAATTCCTTTGGATTATGAGATAAAAATTAATATTAAATGTGTCTAAAATTCTCTTGATATTATTATTATTTTTTTAATGTGGCTTTGTATAAGTTTTTGAAAATTTATTCTTACCAATACCAAACGCAATCTTAAACCCAGTCTTAATCATTTAATTAGAATTTTTTGGTTAAAAAATTATTATAAAATTCAAAAATTGATAAAAAATAATATAAAATGTAAGCGCAAATACAAAGAACTAAAAGCGTGGCAAAAAAAAAAAAAAAAAAGCTAGTATATTATATAAAATGCTACCCTATGCATTTAATATGGTATGTGTTTAATTAACTGATATTAATTAATTGAATTCTTATTAAATGCATACCATTTTTTTAATTTCATGCACTTTCTTTTCCTTTTTTTTTTTTTTTAAATGGCGTCTCTTACAGAAATTTAACAGTTTAAAACCCAATTAACTCTAATTATATTAAAATTGTTATTAAATATAAAACCTTAAAATATTAAGGCGTTTCTTAAATTAGATTTCTAAATGGGACTCTTTTTTTTTTTTTTGTTTTTTGGTCAAACGTCGAAATAATTCTGTAAAATTTTGAAATTTGGGAACTAGGTATACCTTTCAATTTTTCATCTGGATCCAGCAGTCCCTCTCTAATTATCCTGTACTGCAATAGTTGCACAATTGAAATTAATTTGAATTCCCAATATAATAATATTGATTTACAATAAAATTAATTTTTAATTAATGAATGTAAAAGTATTTTCAAATATATATTAATTTATTATAAACAAATATTTAACTTTCATATCTATTAAAATTTTTTGAGATGAACACAATAAAGAAATTCATTAAATTTTCATTAGAAAGATGATTAGTACATATTCTGATTTGACATGCCTTTTGACAATCACCCAATTTACTCATTAACATATTAGTTAATTTAGCACGTTTTTGTATATTATATGTATAGTTGCATTTTTAAGTTTATTTGTCTTTAATTTTAGATTAAAAAATAATGATTTTTTAATGAATATGTTTATGCAGTGTTTTAAATTAGAGTGTCTATCGATCAATGTCCTTTTCAGTAATTTGTTTTATCTTTGCATTTATAATTATTACCTCTTATATATCTCTCTTCATTTCCATATAAGACTGACTTCAACATCTACATATTAGTTAAGTTAAAACAACCTATTTAAATATGGGGTTAGTGCTTGTCCACCTTATCTCCAAAAAATTAGGAGGAAAATTATTTCAAAACTACGTCGTTTCAATAAAGCATTATAGAAAGGACAAAAAACACCTTAATTCATGCTTTAAAAATAGAATATGTTAGTCTTTTTCAAAGATGTTTATTAAAATGACGTCGTTCTTCATAATCTTTAAGAGGTAAAGCAAATAAGTACTATTCTTTTTAAATATATAATGAGATTAGTGCCTATAAGTCCTAACTTCAAAAAAAAGAAAAAAAGAGTCCTAACTTACATTTGAAAACAAAAATTCTAATTCAAAATTTAGAAATTTATCTTATTAAATGTTGATGCCTAAATTTTGAAATCAATTATATATTTTAATAGAATCAATTTCTAAATCTAAATATCAACATTTATTATGATGGATTTTTAAATTTTGAATTAAGTTTTAATTAAATAAAATGATATAGTTTAAGGTTGGGGCTCCAATTTATTTTAGGAGTATATGCACTTTTTTCGTATGTAATATGAGTTTTACTTCAATTATATAATGTGTTTAGAGTATATATACATTATATTATATTCAAAGTAGTACTTAGCAAATTGATTGTTATTTATTCCATTATTATGGGACTAAGGGAGTAATATTAAATATGTAAATAATTCTAGATAAATATAATTCTAAATAATGATTATTAAAATTTCAAGAATTATGAGTAGTTACAAATTGTAATACATATGATCAATATGTATTAACTTGATAATGCTTATATCAACTTGAAAGACTAACTTGAAAAATACAAAATGAGTCCCAAACAAATCTCCTTAGCAATGGTAATAAGTAAGAGCACTTATAGGCAAGCCTAAAATATAGAAAGCATGTCTCTGAGAAACTTAAAAACGTTTTAACATTCTCATTCTCAAAGTTCTAACTATTAAAAAATTATGAAAATGGTAAAGTAAGAGCCCTTAAAGGCTTTTAATATATTCATTAAGATAAAAAGTTAAACAATTCTAATATACACATAACAAGCTGGAGAGAAAGAAATTGGGGTAAAATGGTATATAATAATAAATAGAAATGCAAGAAGTGGCCAAGAAAGAGTAATATTGGGGGAATAAGGATAAGAAGTGAAAGATTAATAACAAATAAATTATAAATATATAGAGAAAAAAATGAGGGTAAATGTTGAGTAGTTAGATAAATATAATGATGAAATGTGAGAAAATAAGCTAAGAGAAAGAGTCCCAGGAAAAAATAATGAAAGTGAAGCATAGATAAATGAAAAAGTATTAAGAGAAAAAAACAGTGCAAAAATGAATATATTTTGATAGATAAAGATTTAAAGGAATGACTATGGAATTATGAAAGAATAATGAAGATATGGGGATAATAGGAGGAAAATAATAACGAAATAAATTACTAATAAAAAATGAAAAAAATGAGGAAAATAATGTAGATTCTTTATTTTATATTGGTTAAAACTTATAATGTGGATATGTGTATATATTTATTACATATATTACTAAATTATTTGTGATTTTAAGCTCTTTATATTTTATTGTAATATTGAGAAAATATGAAATATCTTATGATAAATAGAAAGAGGAAAGTTGAGTAAAAATATATATAATGATAAATAAAGATGAAAATGGTGACTAAAGAATAATAAACTGTTGATCGTGTATTTGATATCTCATTACTTTGCATCCAAACTGGGTTTTTCTTGGTGTGTTGTGGAGGTGAGTTGATTGCTGGATTGCTAACATTTTTAGTTGCTGGCGAAATTTGTCCTGTTGCTTTTGGTTGACTCTGTTCTGGCTGCCTTGCCACTTTTGTCAATGACGGTCTTACTTCTGTCTGCTGTGACAGATTGTGTCTTTAACATCAAAATTTGTTAGCAATGGCTTGCTAGCCATCTTAGCATTCCAATCCTACATTCTGTCTTCATCAAAGAGTGCGACTAGACTGATAACAATCTTCTTGGTAATAAGATTGTAAAGCCCATAAGCTTTAGAATAACCACTAATGCCAACAAAATCACATTTCTTCTGTGTCATTCAACTTATTTCCTTGCTGGCTTAGTACATGGACATTTGCTATATACTCAAAAATTATGAAATGGGCAACAGCCGGTCGTCTGCGACTTCATGCTTCTTTCAGTGTCATATTTTTTACCATCGTAGAACTACTTAGAACGTTGAATACTCCAATTAATTGCTGCTAGCCAAAATTCATTTAACATTCCATGTCAATAAGCTTCGCACCATGTCTAGGATAAGTACCATTTATTCTTTCACAATCACCATTTTATTGTGGTGTATGAGCTGCTGCCATATTCCTTCTTGGTTTCATCTTTAATTTTATGAACTTC